CACACGCACCCCATGTGAGTTTTAAGCCACCAGATCCAGGACTCGAACCGCAGTTGACTACGTGGGAGTCCAGTGACACAGCCATTACGCTAACTGCTGGTCCCTGGACTTTTTCATTTACTATTTTTAGACTGTGGTTGACCTTGGGTAACTGATACGATGGAAAGCAAAATGATGGCTAAGGGGGAGAGACTCGTGCACTTGAACCCTATGCCTGTCTAGACGCCCCTGGACACGAGGACTTACATTTCATTCTCATCGGCCCCTCCCATCGTGACAGGCCCACATCATGCCGTCCAGGAAAAGGGGCTCCTGTTTTCATACCAAGTACACACAGTCGCGTTAATAAACATTTCAGATTTATTCTCCCGCATCTAAAGCCACCTCATTTAATTTATATATACATAGTATATAAATGGTTATACAACGTCCTTTTACGTACATTACCACGAGGTTTTATTACTATGGGACACTTGGTTAAAACGGACCCGGTATTTACCCAAAATAGATCTTTGTTGTTACAGGAAAACCGTAAGAAGCTTGTGTAACACGAACGGTGAGCATTCAAGAGTTACGTGGGGAGGAAATGCTTTTGCCCTGGCTAAATGAGCCGTAGTCTTTTATGCTATTAGTAGAAAAGTTCATTAAACAAAATAGAACCCAGGGGGTCAAGTCATAGGAGTGACTGGTTAAATAATGCTTCTGAAGCAACCCTAGAATCGTATAAACGCAAAGGCTGGAGAAGGTCGTACGTACCAAGCACGGGCAGGAGGAACAGAATGTCTTTGATATTTTGCCCTAAATAAAGGGTGCTTGCAGGCGACGGCTCTGCCGTGGGTACACATGGGCAGATGTTCCCGAACCCGGCCATTCCCAGATTTTACTGACAAGCCCTTCCCTGCAGGCTCCCAGCTGTACAGTTGCCCCAACAACAGGCGACCGGCATCGTGTCCCCAGGCAGAGAACTGGAGCTCTCCTAGTCTGGGTCAGGGATCTTAAGGGTTAGTCCAACCAGAACTGGCCTCCAGGGATCGTCGAGTAAACCAGATGCTAACAGTACCACGGACTCTGTGCCCGGGAAGGGGACGGCAGGTGCAGGGGGAAGACGAGAGGCCGCTAGGTTTCTGGAGTGAGGGGATGAGCCCACGTACACGACAGTATCAGCAAACGCCCTTTGGTGAAGGCAGGAGGCAGGGCCGTGCTGGGCTGTGCTGCCTGAGCATGCAGAAGCGCCCCCCCGTCGGTCCACTCCGGTGCACAATGGAATCAGCCAGAGTTCTCTCGAGACACACACGCACACACGCACACAACCCATCTGGACCCTCGTAACATCATGCTGGGGGAGCAGAGTGATGTAATCACCATTTCCCAGATGAGAAACTCAGGCCAGACAGACAGTGGCTGCCCAAGCCAGGCTCCAGGCCCGCTAGTCAGCTGGTGGTGCACTCCTTCCCCGCCCCTTCTTGCAAGGTCCCCTCCACTCTCTCCTTCCACCATTAGCTGCACAGGCAGTTTCCCAGACCTCCACAGGACTGTGTGGGGGCCCCGAGAATGTGAGCACGTCCGAGCAGAGCTCTGCCATGGACACTTCCTGCTGCCTGTCCTCACTTGCGCTGCACCGTGCAACAAGGGCAGGTGTGCCGAGAGCCACCGGCCTGCACGGCACAGTGGGCACAGCCAGCAGCACCCCGGCCTGCGTGAAGGTGCGGCATGCCCCACAGGCCTGGGGCAGCTGCTGTCTCCCAGCAGAGAGTGAGACCCCAGCCCTGCTCCCAGCTCTCCCTGCCTGCACCCTCAAAGAGCCGGTTTGCTGGCTGGGTTGCCAATCACTGCTGACCACCATAGCCCCACACCTCTGACTCCCAGGCATGGCGGAGGGCCTCGGTGCAATCTGCCCCCATCCTGACGCCCCTCTACACACTCTATCGATGATGATTCGAGGTGACTTTCCCATCCCTCTGGAGACTCCAGTTCCAGCCTCTGTCCACAGGGCTGGCTGGAGTCTGTGGAGCAGAGGTGGAAAGAAGCAGAGGACTTAGAAAACAAGGACACTTGGAAAAAGCAAGATGAGTTTACTCTACGTGACTGTGTGTTTTAATTTCAGTGTTCCTAACACGCTCTCCCTCACTCCTTCGAGAACTTCAAAGCATCGGGCCTTGGTTCACAACGCCTGTTAACTGAATTCACAGATAAGAGGTATGCAAGAGTGAGAAGCAAAACTACAGCCATGGTCACTTCCCTCCTGCTCCAGGCAGGAGGTCTCTGGGACTGAGAGGGAATGCCACCCCAAACGTGTCCCCAGCCGCCTCTACATAGGAAAGCCAGGTGGCGTCCTTGTCACAGTAAGGCGAGCCTAGGGACGGAAAACCAGAATCTACATGCTTCCTCACTGGGACACTCAGGGAAGAGGAACCCCTGGCTAAGGGCACTGAGCCACACTCCCGCCCTGATGCTCAAAATCTCACAGCACTGGATACCCGAAGACACCCGGAATGTTCTGTTTTCAACATCATCTCAGCTAATCCCAGAGCCAGCCCTGTGAGCTTCGCTGGGCAGGCAGCTCTCCCTGTGCACGGCGTTATGGATGGCAGAGGAGAGAGAGCACACGTGTCCTCGAGACGAGGTGGGCAGGGAGCACTCGGCCGGCTGGCCAGGACCTGTCTACTGGGAAAACGAGGAGCTTGCACAGCTGTAGGTTCGTGGTGGAGTGAGAACAACTCCCGACACAGGGAAGCCACTTTCTGGCCTGGAGGGTTACACAGGAGACTACATTCAAGCCTGAATCAAGTCAACCCTACGCCCGGGAGTTCCTGAAGACAAACTGCCAGGACTTCTTTCTTACCATCCGTCTCTCCCTCCAGTGACTGGACGCTTCTTTTAGCTGAATTTCAGTTAAACAGTGTTTTTCTGGTCATTTATTTCTACTGCTTTTTTTTTTTTTCTTTTTTTGGAGAGGTTTTTGCTATAGGGCGCGTGCGCTCACCAGAAAGAGAGAGAGAGAGACAGAGAGACAGAAAGCGAGAAATCACCCCCCAGGGGGGATGGTCACGCCGCAATGCCTTCTCCATTCTCCTCTCGGGATCTTGGGCACGCACGCACACGCGCCCAGCGTGAGTTTAAGCTGCCGGGTCCGGAATTTAAACCGCGGTCGACTACGTGGGAGTCCAGAGACATGGCCATTACACTAACTGCTGGTCCCATTATTTGTACTGTTTTTCTAGTGTATTTTTCCCCCTTTTGTTTGCAGACATAAATCTCAAACCCTGTGTAGATGCTAATTAAGACTCCATTCACTAAAGTGTGGGTAGGGACCCAATCCCCAGGAAGGACTCATCTTTGAGGACCGCTTCTTTACTGAGTGCTAAATGTGGGTCACAGGCTAAGACCCCCCCCCCAAGCAGCTGGGCTCCAGAGCTCCAGGGCTCCAGGGCTCCCCGGCATACAAAAAGAAAACGATACATTTTAAGTTGTTGTTTTTTTTTTTTTTTATCAACTTTTAAAGCTTTTTTGTGCTTCTAATTTAAAAGGATTCTTCTTCCCTCCTTGTCTTCCCATTCTATTTTACCACCTCTTTAAAACTGTCTCCTAAAAAGCCTGAACGGTTACTTTCTGGGTGAACACAGAAAATGATGTAGAAGTTGGGGGTCAAATCATATGAATGATTCATTAAATACTTGAGGAAAATTCTGCAGATGTGAAATCAAAGGATGTTCCCAATATAATTTTCCTATTCAGATGTTTCATGTTTGGTTAAAAATTAAACATTCTATTATAAGAAAACAAAGTTACTATGGCAACATTTTCCCAACATAATTCCAAGTCTATATAAACTTGTTTCTCTTAATACCAAGGTAGCACAATTACAATATAATACCAGTAGTAACCAAATACAACTGAATTCCCAAAAACTAAACGTCTTGCTTTCTCCACCTACTCAATAACTCTTGCCATGGCTTTCCACCCTTAAAAACAAAACAGTATTTTTTTGGGGGGGAGAGGTTTTCCCTATAGGGCACGTGCGCTCGCCAGACAGAGAGACAGAGACAGAGAGACAGAAAGTGAGAAATCACCCCCCAGGGGGGATGGCCACACTGCAATCCCTTCTCCTCTCGGGATCTTGGGCACACATGGACACGCGCCTGGCATGAGTTTAAGCCACTGGGTCCAGGACTCGAACCACGGTCGACTACATGGGAGTCCAGTGACATAGCCATTACGCTAATTGCTGGTCCCTACAGTATTTTTTTCAAATCTCTCAAGACCATGTAATTCAACCTAGATTATTCCCCGCAGCAGTGATTGGGCTATTCAGATTCCAGACTTTTACCAGCAACAATCCAAAGGGCAAACTCCCAAGATAGCCTTCTGGGTGGTACTAGGCAGCCCTGGGTGAGACAGGGAGATCTTTGTGCTGAAAAACTATGTTCGATCAATTTTTCTGACACTAAAAGAAAGTAACTTTTCAAAGCATGTGTTAGTTACACCTTTACAAAGCTCAAACTTAACATCTACCTGACTCCTGTTAACATAAGGCTCTTGATCTAATGACGATTACTGGGCAAAAAAGTGTACGAGGTCATTAATGGGGAGGGCCGCTGGGGACAGGTATCACAATAATTGAAGTGACGGGCACAGCTGCTACTTAAAAGGCTGAAGACAGCAGCCTCTGCCAAGCGGAACGTCACTGAATCCATGTCATGGCCCTACTCCAGGTTGTGGCCGATTGTCAGGAACCCTGAACTTCTCATTTCTGCTTATACTTAACAGCTTACAACCCAGTGGTAGTATCAATTCCGTTTTTAAATATTCATATATGCTCTGCAGCTACATACCACACATTTCTGTACCCACAAGGTCCACTGCCACGGAAGGTTATATATAAATTAAATAAACTCATTACAAAAAGTATTTCCCTTTCTTAACGATTTTCTCAGCCTACGTTTGTCCTCACCCTAAATGAAGTTCAATTTATATCCAAAATATATTTAAATATTCCAAAGTTATATCAAACCTAAGCTATTAAAAAATGTAAACAAAATTTATCTAGCTTATATTTGTGACCCATATTTTATGTTTTTAATTCACCCTGTACTGATCCTCTAGGAAAAAAAAAAAAAAAAAGAATCAAGTCATATTTAGACCAAAAAGCTGACTTGGATTTTTAAAAAACTGCCCGAGGGCATGTGCGTTCACCAGACAGACAGACAGACAGAGTGGGAGAGAGAGCGAGAGGGAGGGGGAGGAAGCACCCCCCAACGGGGCATGGTCATACTGCAACCCTTCTCTTCCAGCTCTATCCTCTCAGGACTTGGGGGACACGTACACACATATCCGGTCTGTATATAGCAATGCCGTGTGCCCACAGGGGCAGGGATTTGAACCAAGTGGTTGGCCACGGGGATCTGGCTGCCTTAACCACTAGGCTACAGGGCTGACCCTGAATGGAATTTTGAAGTGGTTCCTTGGCGGTAACTGCCGATTGCTAGAACAAGCGTTATTGAATCTAGTGGTTTATTGCACCACTCAATTTAGAAGACCAAAATATTTCCATTCTGATCTACCGGTAAGTCTCTCTGAATGAGCCCCGAGGAGTCTGCTCCCCGAAGTCTACGTGCTGGCTGGCGACTGCAGTAACGCTCAGCACAAACCAAGACCGAGTCTCCTGCGCCCTCGCGGCTCCCACGGAACCTGCTAGGAATCTCCAGGTCCCGGTTTTCCAGTCCAGTGTGGTTGAAAGGAACTTCAAGCATGAGAACTTGAGGGGAAGCTGAGAAGCAGGAAGGGAAGCACGGATCGACCCTCAGGAGGAAATCAAAGCTCCGTCTAGCACCCGGGCCCTCCTCACACTCCACAGTCAGACTGCTTCTCCTGAAGCTGCCTCGTCAGTATCTGGTGTGACGACAGAAAAGCCACCCCGACGTGGAACAGGATCTGCCACAGGTTCCTCAGTCCGTGCAGGTACGTGTTGCCCAGGCAGATGCAGAGCAGCAGCAGCACCACCTTCACGGTCCTGGCCGGACTGTAGAACAGGTACAGGTAACACTGCAATGAGACCACGAGGCTGGTCAGAGTAACAACGGCCGCAAGTTCAGATCCCACGGCTGCCATGAGCAGTGTCCTCCCGCTCACACCAGCTGGTTACACTGAACTCGTTACAAGAAGCTTGGACCCACTAGTTAGGCTGCTGCTAATCAAAGAATAAAAGTGGGGGGAACCAGCAGTTAGCGTAATGGCTATGTCGCTGGACTCCCATGTAGTCAACCGCGGTTCGTGTCCTGGACCCGGTGGCTTAAAACTCACGCCGGGCGCGTGTACGTGTGTGCCCAAGATCCCGAGAGGAGAATGGAGGAGAAGGGATTGCGGCGTGACCATCCCCCCTGGGGGGTGATTTCTCGCTTTCTGTCTCTATGTCTCTCTCTGTCTGTCTGGTGAGCGCACGCGTCCTACAGTGAAAAGCTCTCCCAAAAAAATAAATAAATAAATAAATTTTTAAAAAGTGGGGATTAGGAAGAAAAAAGGAAAGTGAAACACTGATAGATGTCCTAAGGAGAATAAATGCATAGCAACTTTTATAAAGCTTAAGAAATACAGACAGAGGGGCCGGCAGGTGGAGTGGTGGTTAAGGTGCTAGACTCCCACCTGGTTGACCACGGATCGAGTCTCAGACCTGGTGGCTTGCTCTCTCACTTTCTCTCCCTCTCTCTCCTCTTGTCAAAATTAAAAAACAGTAACAAATAAAATTAAATAATATATAAAAAATATATAGACAGAATGCCCACATGGTGGACTGTAGAGAAAGAAGACATGGAGGCCAGGGGTCGACAGCCAGGTAGGGCGTTCTAACAAGACTGACTGTCCCTTGCCTCAGGGAAGCTTTCCTTCAGGGAGCTGTGTCGGGCCAGCAAGCTCGTGAGAGAAAGTAGTTCTTTTACTCCTTTTAGGATGGCCAACAACTAAATATAAACATCTCAGTTTCTCCTGACTACACTGAGTACCACTGCTCCCTTGAACACGTCCCTCTGTCCCCTTCCAAAGTGTGTCTGATTCAGGAAGGGCCTCACAGCAGGGACGGTGGCTGCTACTTTGTGTAGGACTATCACACTACAAAAGGGTCATTCTCATTCTACAAAAAATGGAGAAAGTTTTTTAATGTTTAAAACATTTGTTTTAAACACGTGTAATGTTTAAAACCAGAACACAGAGCGATCCGACAAATTCCACATTACTGTGGAAGGGAGAGAGCCCCGCACTGAAGGAGCTGTCCAAACAGAAACACGGTTGAAGGAAAGAGGACTCGGAAGATACCTGCCTGCAGCCTTGACACAGGCTCTGGGAAACCACACTGCCACACTCAGAGTTTAGAAGGTTTCGTTTCGTTTCTTTTTACAATGTTTGCTCTAGGGCACATGCACTTGCCAGAGAGAGACAGAGAGAAAAAGAAAGGGGAAAGTGAGAAAGTGCCCCCTAGAGGGGAATGGCCGCACTGCAATCCCTCCCCTTGGTCTCCTCCAGGGACTTTGGGCAGGCATCCACACAGGCCTGGTGTGATTTTTCAAGCCACCAGGTCTTAAAAAGTGCCCTAAGAATAAAAACTTATTATTATTATTATTATTTTAAAAAGCATGAGCGGGACCAGCAGTTAGCGTAATGGCTATGTCACTGGACTCCCACGTAGTCGACCGCGGTTCGAGTCCTGGACCCGGTGTCTTAAACTCACACTGGGCACGTGTGTGTGCATGCCCAAGATCCCGAGAGAACGGAGGAGAAGGGACTGCGGCGTGGCCATCCCCCCCTGGGGAGTGATTTCTCGCTTTCTGTCTGTCTCTGTCTGTCTGTCTGGCAAGCACATGTGCCCTATAGCAAAAGCCTCTCCAGAAAAAAAAGAAAAGCATGAGCATTCCGGTGTCTTAAACTCACACTGGGCACGTGTGTGTGCATGCCCAAGATCCCGAGAGAACGGAGGAGAAGGGACTGCGGCGTGGCCATCCCCCCCTGGGGAGTGATTTCTCGCTTTCTGTCTGTCTCTGTCTGTCTGTCTGGCAAGCACATGTGCCCTATAGCAAAAGCCTCTCCAGAAAAAAAAAAAAAGCATGAGCATTGAGAGAAGGTACTAAAATGCTAGCCCATGTGGAGGACAAGGAAGAAAAGTTAGTCAGATTTGTACTAGACTTAAAATTAGAATCTGCCTATGGTGGATGTAAAGGCTCCTTTCTATGCCACTCCGTAAGTACAGAGTTTATTTGAAAATAAATAATAAAGTGCCTACTTAATGTTCTGATTTCCGTTTCCTCTCTTAAGCAACAGATTTGAATGGGAAACTGGCATTTTTTTGAACTAAACTGCTAAAGGACATTTCTGCCCAAGGACATTTCTGCCCTTGAACTACCCCAAAGATACCTCCAAGGCAATTTTCTGCCTCACACTCTTCAGGCTGGACCCAACCCTCACCTCCGTCTTGTCCCTCCCTCCTCCCAAGCAGACTGTTTTTGTTCTGCTGCTGTCAACAGCCCTGTGGCCTCGGGGAGTGGCGTTCCCTTTCTGAGTCCAAAGTTCCTCCTCTATGAAATGAGACACTTAGCAGGATGGGCCCAAGGTCCTTCCACTAAGGGCTTGTGTTGTCCATGACTTGAACCAAGACCGAGGCAGCGCAAAGATGGGACCTAGAAACTTGCTGACGGTCCTCACAGAAGAGCCAAATGAACTCCTGGGCTCAACGCACTCCCCAAAACACCAAAGTTTCACCCACCTGGAAAACACAGGCTACAAAAGGAATAAGAAAAGCCAGGATGTTTCCAATTTCCTCATGGGCAACCTGAAACAAGTAAGAACAACACATGGAGGAAGGATTCAGGTTAGGAAACTGTGACACGAGACGTGAAGCACCTTTCTCCTCCTCGGGTCCCACACGACTGACAGAACAACACTCCTTGCTGGTTGAGACCCAAGTCTCTGTACTTTGTTGTTGCTGCTTTTTTGTTTTGTGTTGTGTTATTGCCAGAGGGAGTACATTCTCACCAGAAAGAGACAGAGGAAGAATGCACCCCCCAACTGGGCATGGTCGGGCTGCAATCCTCCTTCTCCTTCATCTCTCCATCCCGTCAGGCCCCATCAGGATCCTGGGTACTCAAATGTGCACACCTGGAATGTTTTTCCAGTCGCCAGGGCTGGGATTTGAAGCGCAGCTGTTCATGTGAGCTTAGGCTTCCTACACACAGCACTTAACCACGATGCCACCAGGCTAGCCCCTGTTTATGTACCAAATCGGGGGTTGGCATGTAACTGCTTTCGATGGCCGGGGCACACCATGCATCCTCCTGTTGCCATGAATCTTTGCTAAGCTGTCCACCCAGAATAAGCCCCAACCCCTCCACCTCTCAAAATCCTTCTTATCTGTGAACACCAAGCTTTCTCTATTCCTCCCATCCCAGGCACTGCCACCTCATCTGTGCTGCCACCACACTCTGCTTTGTGTCACAAGAGCCCCGGAGGCAGGAAGTATGACTTAACCTTACTGACCAGGTGCCAGTTCTACTGTGTACAAACAATAGAATAGGCAGTTGGCAGGTATCTGGTTATGAATAATCACAATTACCACACGGAGGTCTGAACGGGCTTGCTGCCACTCTCCAAACAGATCAGCTCCCATCAGTCTCCAGGTGCAGCATCAGGCATGCTTCAGATGTCAGTCACCACGAGCACGGGAGTGCGCGCTACAGCTCTAAGAGTAACAGCTATCCGGTACAACGGTCCTATGCCTCTTTCAAGTATCTGCAATACTTTGACAATTTTAAAAAGTTTTGGGGCCAGCAGTTAGCGTAATGGCTATGTCACTGGACTCCCATGTAAGCGACCATGGTTCGAGTCCCGGACCCAGTGGCTTAAACTCATGCCAGGCGCAGGTGCGTGTGTGCCCAAGATCCCGAGGGGAGAATGGAGGAGAAGGGATTGCAGCGTGGCCATCCTCCCTGGGGGGTGATTTCTCACTTTCCATCTGTCTCTCTCTGTCTTTCTGGAGAGCGAGCACACTCACCCTTTAGCAAAAACCTCTCCAAAAAAAATTTTTTTTTAAAGTATTAAGATAGAAACATGCTTGCGGGGTCAGCCAGTGGTGTGGTGGTTAAGGCAGGTGGATGCCACCTGAGGCTGACAGAGCAGTATGAATCCTGGACCCTGAAGCTTGAGAAACATGACTGGTGCATGTATGTGCATGCCCAAAATCTCAAGAGAGAATAGAGGAGAAAGGACGGTGGAGTGGCCATCTCCCCTGCGGGGGGCATTTCTCTTTCTCTCTCTCTACCTCTCTACCTCTCTCTCTCTCTCTCTCTCTCTCTCTCTCTCCAGCAAGCACATATGCCCTATAGCAAAAAAAACAAAGCAAAACAAAAACAAGAAAGCTGCTTTGAGATGAGCAGAGCAACGAAGGGACTCCCTACTGACACAGTCCTTGGACAAACACACCTTTGTGTATGGAAACCATTTTGACAAGGGGTTTCTGCACTGTAGCAAATCAGACTATGGTACCTCTTCCAGGAGAGAAAAAGCTCGAACCTGAAAGTCTAAGAATCAATTTTTTTTCCCTGGGTGAGTAATCTATCCCCTGGAAAGACTTCTGAGGACCCAAGGGCCACATGGTCTGATGTCCTTATAGGAAGTTCTCCATTTCTGGGACCAGCAGTTGGAGTAATGGCTATGTCGCTGGACTCCCATGTAGTCGACCGCAGTTCGCGTCCCGGACCCGGTGGCTTAAACTCACACTGGACGCATGTGCGTGTGTGCCCAAGATCCCAAGAGGAGAACGGAGGAAAAGGGATTGCGGCATGGCCATCCCCACTGGGGGGGTGATTTCTCGCTTTCTGTCTCTCTGTCTCTCTCTGTCTTTCTGGCGAGCGCACATGCCCTATAGCAACGCCCCCCCAAAAAAAGGAAGTTCTCCATTTCTGACCAATATCCCAGCAGATCCCTTTGGCTTCTTAGAACACCAAGGATAAAAAAGTGACTTTCATGTTTATTCAACTTACCACAAAGAATACAATTAAAAATAAAGTTTTGTTTGAATTTTTAAATTTCTCAAATCTTAGAACTTTTACATTTCTAAAATCTATGAATAAGACTTATAAAGAAAACGTATCCTTACCAGTTTCTTCTCTCATGTGTCCTTCAATTTATTATTACTGTTAAATTGCCAGGACTGCATGCGGGCTCACCAGAGAGAGAGACAGAGAGTGAGAGAGAACGCACCCCCCAGTGTGCTTCGGTCACATCGCAATCCCTTCTCCTCCACTTCTCCATCCTGTTTGGATTTAGGGCAAGAACACACATGTGCCTAGCATAGTTTTATTTGTTTTGTTTTGTTTTGTTTGGGAGGGTTGGGTTTTTTTAGGCATTAATAGGTATTTTTAATGCATTTTTTATTTCGAGAAAAAGTTTTACTTTTAATAGATCAAAATAAAAAACATTAAGAGAAATTTGCTTAAAACTTAAAGTCAGGAAAAAGGTTAGGATTCAGTTCAAATAGTAGGTAGATGAATCTACCAACAGTTCAAGAGAAAACAAAAATCCTTAAATACAGGGAACCAGCAGTTAGCGTAATGGCTATGTCGCTGGACTCCCACGTAGTCGACCGCGGTTCGTGTCCCGGACCCGGTGGCTTAAAACTCATGCCGGGCGTGTGTGCGTGCGTGCCCAAGATCCCGAGAGGAGAATGGAGGAGAAGGGATTGTGGCGTGACCATCCCCCCTGGGGGGTGATTTCTCGCTTTCTGTCTCTATGTCTCTCTCTGTCTGTCTGGCGAGCGCACGCGCCCTACAGTGAAAATCTCTCCAAAAAAAAAAAAATCCTTAAATACAGAAATTAAGGCATCGAAGAAAATCAGTAATGTTTTAGTCTAGAGTCAAAAAAATTCTATTTCACTTGTTCAGACCCATGTAATTAATCTCCCTCCTAGTGAATTTGCAGTGTTACTGTGGTCTGATCTTTCCATTTAAACTCTGGAAGTTAACATTCAACTCTAGACTTGTCCCTGCCTAGGCTGGCCATTCTCCTGGTTGTTTCTTGTACTCTTATTCTGTGTGTCCGACTTTAGTCTTCCTGGTATAGCACTCCCGTCAACACTTCTTGGAGAGCTGGTCTGGTGTTGGTAAATTCTTTCAGGTTTTGTTTATTTGAGAATATTTTGTCTTTTTTCCCATATGGAAGATAATCTTGCTGAGTATAGTATTCTTGGTTGAAATTGTTTTTCACTTAACATTTTAAATATATTTTCCCACTCTTTC